TTGATAAATGCCAACATGATCATGGTTAGTGATGGAAAGATTAGTTTATATGCATTTTTCTTCATTTTAAAAGGGTAACAATCGCATACACCCTACAAGATATGCATGTTATTATGCAGTATGCATGTGAAAAATACACTATATTCTACTTTTTGTAAAGTAACAGTAAGAGTAAAAGTATACTCCAAAACAGTTTGGGAGTATTTATATCATACAATGGGCTATGGGGAGAAGGATCAAATAAATTGGAAAGTAAAACAATGTAGGACTTATAGGTGGTGATTATTGTGTCAATTGTTCTTGGTCCTGGGTCCGATGCCACCTTCAGGCCTTTCTGTGTGGAGTTTGCATGTTCTCTCAATACGTAGGTTTCCTCCGGGTGCTCTGGTTTTCCCATACCTCTAAAAAAATGGGTAAGTCTGAGTGTAATGAGTGGGTGTTTATTGGGGGCTTTATTAAGCGCTTTGAGTGATCTTGGTCTGTAAAATGTGCTAGATGAATAGAGAGAGATACAATGACATTAAGGGCCTTAGTTTGGACTCCTCTGGTCTATGGCAACAGTCTATAAGCCAACATGGTATGATAATATATTATTTGTGACTGCACAGAAACATTGACAATAGCATAGTGAAGACGCTGGTGCCAGGTGTGTGAGTGCTGACACATGCATTCATGAGCACAGGTTGTTGTAAATACTGTAATGTATCCAGAAAAGGAAATAACCGCAAACAGCCAAGCCATAAAGGACCACACACAAAGTATATATTATTATTAACTTCACTGATGGATTTTGCACATGTGGCACAAGCGTGTGTCCTTTAAAATGCTGGAATCGGACCCATGCAAATGTGGACTAGTTCCAAACCAAATAGGCTTATACAGCAGATAGAGTAAGTAAAGTTTGTGCATGTCCAGAATGTTAAGACTGGAGATGAAGCAGCCTCCCCCGCAGTGCACATTTCCTCAGGCACTTCATCAAGGGCCCTCAAAGCTATAGAGCCCACTCCACTTCACACCAATTTAAACATCTCTTTCCCATTTATTTTCAATCACATTATAATGTTTTGCCCACGCAGGTTTGGACTCAAGCACGCAGGCTCCTCACATTCAGTCATTCATTCATGTGCCTCCAACTATATGCATTCTAACTTGGATGTGATGTCATTCAGCATGTACCGTTCATGCTGGATTACTGAATTAGACAGACAGCGAGGGGATTGTCGGTGTCCTGGTGTGAGTGAAGCTATTATCATACAGCCCTGAGGCTTTATTTCAGGATCCGTTTTGATCTTCCAACAAACAAGTGGAAGCCCTTTATGTCAGCCTGTCAGCCCAGCCCAATCCACGCCGACGACTACTGTTTGACTTTGCCAATTGATTCATCAACTTATTTTCTGATTGCCTTCCTGACAGGTCTCCACACAGGCTGATGGATGGTTCTGCCTCCCGCCTTGAGGTCAAAGTGTGGGGGAGTCTGCGGCCCCCAACGCGATCTGTGCATGTGCATGAGGTGTAGGTTTGTAGAGAAGAAGAAGGGGATGTTTTATTTATATAGCACATTTCAGACAGGATATTTGGCCAGATGGCTCCTATTTAATGCTGTCAGTATAAAAATCATTTTATATTATAATGTATTTCCGGTCAAGGAAAGTTTATTTGTATAGCACAATTCATGCACAAGGCAATTCAAGTGCCACTGTATATTAAAAAGAGTAAAGATAAAATCCTTCAGTTGTGTGCATAGCTACATAGAGCTTTAAGACTTTAGATTATGTTACAAGCTTAAAAATGTGAAAATGTTCCCAGGATGGACCAATGATGTTTCTTATTATTGTATTTCCAGACTTCCAACAAGGGAAACCTGCTGAAGGAATACAGTTGTGAAATATATCTATCAATGATATATTGATTGGAATGATGTAATGATGTTTTTTTTTTTTTTTTTAAGAATTTTGTATTAATACACAAATGCTTTTTTTAAAACCTATCCCCAACAATACTCTTTGGAAGAATTACTTCACTTACTCTCAATAATGCTAAGAACACTATTCCTCTTATCAATACATATGTAATAAATATGTTGATACTTAAACCAACAGTTTGTTATGTTTGCATTACATATTATTGCATTTCTAATGGTTTGATTCTCTAATCTGTTGTTGGTGAATTGACAATTATGTGAAGTCCACCAAGTCGACTGCTGTGATGATTTAGGGCTATACACAAGTAAATAGAATTGATTTGAGACAAGGGCACTGCATAAGTATAGGAGAGGCTAAACAGGTGAGTTTTACGTTTGCTAAAGGGTGAGCTCATGCAGGGTTGGAGCACAACATCATGATTTGGTTTAATAATTCCATTTATATAAGAATAATCCAGAAAGCTGCTTCTCCAACCTTCAGACTCATAAAGCACAGTAAATATGTGAAGGTACCAGACTGCGGAGGGGTTTATGAACAACCAGAATGTGTACATTTTCTTCTGAACTCTAAGTAATATAAGTATTGCAATCTTACTTGCTCTTATTTGTAATAGGGATAGTGGTTTACTTAAAACACCTCATTGTTTCTATATTTAGGCTGTGGCCCTTGCAGGTTGTAAATTCCACATTATGCAAGGCCAAAGCCCTTGCGTAATGGAAATGTCATATTGCCATCTGCTGGACAACTGGTGAATTACACCATTGACCATGCTACTTCCGTACTTATCCCGGAAGCCTAGACTGGGAAATATATGCAGTATATAATGGATAATCTATTTCACCTTTATTATTTATCATACTATTTTATAAATCCAAAAATCTTAAGAATACTGCGCAACTTCCAATTTGTGCCTGCCAGAATCCATCCCCCATCAAAGTTATTACCATTGCTATTAATATTTATACGCTCTAGTTACATGACACAGTTCATGATAACAAAGCATGCTGAGGGCTTCAGTTTTAACTATGACAACAATGCTCTTCGTGAACATCTAAAGACTGACCCAGTTCTGTGAGGACATGTCTCTTGTTTCTGAATTAATAACAGCTTACAGATTTGACTGCTCACTATTTCCATTGTGCGAATAATCTATCATTCTCTATAATGAATTAAGCCAACTATAAATTTGTCAACTTCCTATCGAGACCAAGACAGCATAGTGTTATACCAGATTCAGATTCACTTTATTTGGCATTTGCAGTAAAACCACACTGGAATACATTTGCAAAAGTCCCCAGTGTGCACCAAGGATAGTACATACAGTAAATAAAACAAGGTTAAAAGTACAGAAATAAAATAAAAATAAAAACAAGTCCAGGAAACAATTGACACTGAGAAATTGATCCACTAAAACAGTTTGAATACAAGTGAAAGGTCATTGTGCCCTGTTTACCATCTATCTGTCTGAATTTCAAATAAATTACTTGTCTGGTCTAAAATACACAAAATGAATAAAACCACAAATATCATTCCTTATTCAAAAGGCGACATCTCACAAAGGTCTCAGAATTAGGTCACGATAAAGAAGGTCACTGCTGGTTCTTTCATGGCCTTTAACGCTAAGCCCATGTTAAATAATTGAACAATGTATGCATGGCCTATATGACAATGAAGAGTGAATAATGAGATTGTAAGTAGCTAAATCATTATCATTGATCATTAAAAACAAAAAACTAATTAAACAATGATAATGATAATAATATCACTGTTATTATTAAGATATAGGTCAATTATAAAATATTGTAAATACCATGTTTTACTTGTCAATAAGACATTCAAAGTAAAAATTACAAATGGCCTAAAGTCGAATAGGTTAGATCTGCATTAATAAGACGTGGGGAAAACAACAACAACCCTTTTAGACACCGTCTTTTTAACATACAGTTCATAACAAATCACATGTTACATTTGAATAAAACCTAATTAAATAGGATGTGGTTGAGATGTTGACGGATTATTTATTTTAGGTGTATTATAATTTTTGATTGTTAAAATAGATGCATACTATTATTTGGAGAAACCATAACGTTAAGTGAATTTGTTTAGTTGAGTAAATCATTGGTGTCATTGTTAGTGAAGAATATAAGTTGAAAATTGAGCTGTTATTGTTATAGAACTGCACTCCCATACATTTCAAAACACTTTCCATTATCTTTCTCACACATAACAATTCATTATAAAAAACTACCAATTATATTATAAACAGGTCAATTGTCTACCAAATAAAATGAAAAAGGAAAAAACATGCACAGATTATGTGTGTACGCTAGAAAAACTTACAGGGGTTGACAACCCCACCATACATTCGACTGCGATAACATAATTTACATACTGAACACATACCTAGCCTACAATTGCAAGGTATTCACTATATACAATTTTGCAATCCTACAGACAAATATTTTGCGTTAAATTTATTTTGTCAATTTATTTTGTCTTTTCACAAACACAAATATATTGTTCAGTTAAGGAGCAGTTCCAGACATCAATCTCAGATCTAAATGAAAACGAAAGAAAACTATAAGTCACACACATATTTCCGCATAAAGTTTGTGGAAAAAGCCCACACAGTCTGTCTTATGGATGTACATATTTTTCATATTTAATCTTTAATTCAGACACACAAAGAGTCCACATAACACAAAAAAACAAACAAAAAACCCACAAACACACAATATTTACACAATTCTGTAAAGACAGTTTCTCCAATGCCTCCAGAGACTGTAATATTTAGGGTCTATCTCGTTATTATAATAGATCCATGGTCTATCTATGCCAAAAACAGATGCATCTTGTTGTTGTTTGACGTCATTCCATCAGGCCAGAGCAGCCGAGCGCCGCACCGGAGCAGCTGTGTTTTCATGCTTTCAACCTGCGCCACTCTCCCTGCCATGGCGGCCGTCATGTTGCCTCTGAAGGAAGCCTCATTATAGCGTCGTCTTGTCTCTAGACTCCTTATCGTTGGTGCCGTGCAGTTAATACCTTCATTCTACAACACAGAACTCCCGTGAACCGGCCATGACCGTGGAGCAGAATGTCCTCCAGCAGCATTCTCAGAAGGTACGCGCTAATGCTAACGTGATGCTAACGTGAGCTAACGTGATGCTAACAGCTAACAAGTGGAGCTGTAACTGCGTACCGACTAAGTTATGCCGCATTCTTTGGGTGGTATTGAAATCACGTGTCAGAACAATGAACTATACGAATGCATACAATTAAACATGATCTAAACGTGTTTGTGAACATCACGGAGTCAAGATGAACCAAGCATCAGTGTAATTCCATCGCACACAGCGCTGTGAGCTAATGTTATGACATGATGTTTTGCAAGATGCTCAGGAATGCTAGCTCAACTCCGCGGGCAGTGACAGTTCAGAGAACACTAAACACAACTTAGTTTCTGCTCCTTGCGTGTTTATTGCATTGTATCACGCTGTATATTAGGAGGTAGTAGGCTAACACATCTAAATGGTGAGGTCAATATTGATAAACAAGGCCATAACAAAAAGCAGTATTCATGCTATTGAAACCCGGGGCTATGTTATGTGGGTGTTGCCGCTTCCAAACATACCCATACTTATAATCATACCCATACGTAATATTCAGACATGTGATGGAGGTGTGTGCATTAAACCAACCGTGATATCTTTGTGTACAAAGCATGGCCAGTGTAGTGGGAATGTAGTTACACAAGACCCCACAATTCATAAGAGTGCAGCTCTAATGTTTTATTTTAAGATGTTATTACTATGAGAACTGAAAAAAGATTTTCTAAGCGTCGTCTCTCTGCGGGGATTAAGACTACCCTTTGACAGCTCTGCTGAGTTACATAACGTCTAAGTGATGGTGGTAAAGCATAACTTTGCAGCCTCATGTTTATTGCCGTTTTAAGTGTCTTAAGAGTTACGTATACAAGAAGTATTATCCATCATAGACGCATATTTGTAAACAAAAAGAGGCGTGCATCTCAGTAGAGTGATTTAATTGTGATTAAGAGCATACTTTCTCAGGGTGGTTATTGACCGACACTTATCCGACACTGACACAAAGTGCACTCTCCCTTTATTTATAGTACTTTTTAACATGTGCATCACAGCTCAAGTGGGGTGTGACTGAGTCATGTATTATTATGTGTTTTCTGACTTAATGGCTCTAAAACATCACTGGATATTTATCCAAATGAATTTGTATAATAATGTATAAGCAATACTCTTGTGTGACCTCAAAATAATAATTGGCCAATTAATCCATTTATTAGTTGGTCTCAGTCTCACTGATAAGTTTGTGTAAGCTCTCAGTCGTACAGGGTTTAGTCAAAGCAAAGGAAGGTTTCTCACCCATCATCTGTACTTCTTAGCAGGTTTTCCCGACGTTTCGTTCTTCATCGAAAGAACTTCTTCAGGGAATGTAATCTCAGGCCGTGCGTTGGAGATTTATAACCTATGGGTGTGGTTAGCCACACCCTAATCCTGATGCTAACTCATTAACAAACTATGGTCTGTTTGATGTAGAAGGGAGCAGGTCTGACGATCCTAACTCATTAGCATGTAGCATGTTTGTCAATGAGTTCGCACACCCATAGGTTATAAATCTCCAACGCGCGGTCTGAGATTTCATTCCCTGAAGTAGTTCTTTCAATAAAGAACGAAACGTCGGGAAAACCTGCTGTTTTATAAACATATGTATTCATTTTATTACAATCTTGAATGCTTGTAGATATCTATGCCTTTTGTTCATAAAATGTATTCTGTCTTCAAACAGCATCAACAGACTCTACTAAACCAGTTGAGAGAAGTTACAGGCACTACAGATGTTCAGTTGCTTCAACAGGCTCTTCAAGTATGTATGAATTACATGAAAAAAGAAAATAATAGAATTTCTTTCACCCAATATAACCTTTCGCAATGTTTCAGGTGAGCAATGGAGACCTTGCAGAGGCAGTGGCTTTTCTAACGGAGAAAAATGCTAAAGTTCCTCAGCAACAGGATGAGACGACCTACTACCAGACGTCTCAAGTGGCCAGTGACAGATACATCAGTGTGGGAAGCCAGGCAGACACAAGTGAGAGAAAATTACAACACATCTATATGAGGACTGTATTGATGCAAAACCACTGCTTTTAGTAAACTAATCGTAATGCTTTAGTGACACACATGTGATGTCTGTAGATGTGATAGATCTCACTGGAGATGACAAAGATGACCTCCAGAGAGCCATTGCGCTCAGCCTGGAGGAGTCAAGCCGGGCATTCAGGGAGACTGGCATCACCGACGAGGAGCAGGCTATAAGCAGGTGAATGACAACCTCTACATGTACATTTTGTGCATGTGCCACTGGTTAAAATAATGTTATGCCCTGTGTGTTTTCCAGAGTTTTAGAAGCGAGCATTGCAGAAAACAAGGCTAGTCTCAAGCGCACCCACACAGAGGTGTGGAGCGATTCTCCGAATCCACATGACAGGAAGAGGATAGACAACTGCCCCGTGGGTCTGAAAAATGTTGGCAATACTTGCTGGTTCAGTGCTGTTATACAGGTGAGACCATACCCTTAATCAAATATTGTATTTGTTTCTCTTTCCCCATCAACCTTAAACTGATCCACTGCTGCACAAATATGTCATGTGAACTCTGGATATAGCGCCATGTGGTTCTTGGCTTCTGCATGTAATCCAACCCCACCCTAGGAGAAGTAGGCGTAGGTTCAAGATCATCGTAATGTGCCTGATTCAAGAAGTAAACAACATTCCACTATCCTTTTGGACACGCCTTTATTGTTCAGAGTTCTTGGAACCAGATTGGCACAGCTCTGTAGGTTGGGATCATTTTAAATTTAAGTACCACTCAAAGTCCACTTGGGGTGTTAAAAAAATAAATCTAGTCACCGTCAAAAACAAAAAAATGCGAATACATAAAATGTATTACTAGTACCTAAAATATTTATTTAAAAAGTCAATCCCAACATGAGTCAGACCAACATGAGTACAAGAACTTACTGATCCACACTCAGTATTGACGAGATCCCTGGCTGTGTGGCACTTAGCTTGTAATACTGATGTAACATACATTCCCTGCATATTATTAAGGCTTTTAAACGAAAGATAATAATATTTTCAAACCTTTGCTTAGTTGGACAAGTGGATTTTATATATTGTACATGTTATATATTATATAATATTTGTGTAATTAATCGTTTATATTTTTCCCCCATAGTCGTTGTTTAACTTGTTGGAGTTCCAAAGGCTTGTCCTCCACTATTCCCCTCCAGTCAGAGTTCAGGACCTGCCACGAAACCAGAAGGTGAGACCTGTATTAAGAATACTGCTGATCGCTCTATGAAGCTGAAGTGAAGTGCTCATGGGCCAAGTTTTGCCCATACACGCTTTGGCTCCATTCACTTACAGTTAAACGTAAACTCATCTAGTGTTTACTCGTCTAGCTCTATAACTGTTTTTGCACTTAAAAATCACTCTTTTTACTGCCATTGTGAGTAACAGGAGGTCACAAACTAGGAAATTGCTTTGGCTCTCGGTGCAAAGAAGTTGTTAAAGTACAAATAGAATAAGGCATGCATAAAATAAAAGCATCTGGACAAATAATTGTAAAGTTTTCATCAATCTGAACGGAGCGTCACCAGAGGAGGCAAAAGTGCTATTGATAAGGAAAATGGAGGACTTGGTGAAATACAACTGAGGGCCTCTTAGGTCACAAAGTTTAAGGTAATAGCCACACAATCACATACAGTACTGCAGAATGACACTACCCATGGAAATACAAAGTACAAAATACATTGACAACCTGAGGTCATATATCAAGATGAACGACCAAGAACTAATATCTTATGAAAACACTGACCATGATGAAGTGGACTATGATATTGACCCTGATAACAACTTCTTTACGCAATGTAAAAATAATTGTCGTTATTATTCAGAAGATGAATTTAATCAAAAAATAAATGTCAATGGATCCTTTTCACTCATTCACTTTAACAGTAGAAGTTTATACTCCAGGGCTTAAAGTTTTCCGGCACCGTGCCGGAAATCCGGCGTGAGAAAAAAAAAAAAAAAAAATCACTTTTATTTTTATTTTTTTTTAATATATATATAAATAAATAATGATTGCTGTCATTTGAAAAAAGGTTCAAGTGTGTTCTACCAATTGTATGAAAGGATTGCATGTGTATAGCGCAGGGATTAAAGAGTTCCGTCTAAGTGACGGATTTCCGTCAAATGAAATTGGTCTGAAAAAAAACCAAAATATATAATAATAATATAATACACACAATGAAATGGTTAATTATAACAAAATATATAGTAATACGTGTGAATCTGTTGTATATATCTAGATATATATTAATAATTTGAATATAATTGTATTTATATGTATATAGAAATAAAAAGTAACGAGTGGGCCTTGAACGTGCCGTGGCTAGCTACATGAGCGCTCCGTAAATGATTCAAGGCAATGGGACGTAGCCAAGTTAGCGATGGTAACACGGAGGTGAAAGTTTCTGAAAAGTGCACGGAGCTTTTGAAAAGGAGAAGAGGACAAGGAAAATGTAATCCTGAACGGAGCAATAACAGCCAGCAGCCCGCGGACCGGTAAACTGGGCGCGTTATCAGAGGAAAGGTAGGACATAATTAAGTTTACCAAACGCAATGCTTTTTTATTTAACGGAATGTACAATATGTACTTTGCTGTGACTGGGAATGGGGACAAGCATGTCTTGGTGAGCTTTTGATAATATCTTGGTGGCGATCCCCATGCAAAACTGCGTGATAAAAAGAGCCAATCAACGAGAGCGAACGGAAGAAACTCGCTGAAGAAAGGTGTGTGTTAGCAGGTCTTATATTCATTCATCAAAGCTAGCCTAGCATGCACGCACAATCACAATCATGGATCGTTGTTTATGGAAGAAGGAGCTGTATAAGTTGCTGTTGATAACGGAGTGAAAAATAAATGGAGGTGGGCATGGCTGGATGAGGTGGAGACGATGGGATTCTGTTGCTTCATGGTGCAAAAAGATAAAGGTGTCCGGTGCTTGTTCGTACTTCGCTATTATTATTTTTTTATATGGGAGTAATGAGAAAACAGCTTTGGATTCACCACCAGCTCAAAACTGCGCACTTGGCAGCTGTCCGTGCACTTTCCCACACTTCTTTACCTGGTGCATCAGATTCAGCGACAACTGAGACTAGGCTTGCTCTGGTGGACTGTGTCTGTGACCTAAAACTATCTGTGGCTTTATCGCAGAAAATAACCTGTCGTTCAGAACCATCACTACCGCTGGTAGATTTAATTATCATTAATCATTTGCAGTTGATAAAACTGCGCTGTGCACTAGCACCAAGTTGATAGGGAAACCTTTTTCTTAAACATTGAGTGTCCACAAACAAATGTGGACAGAATTTTGAATGTCCTTTTGCGATATTTTGACGAGGACAGAGCCAAAGGACAACGCCTCATCTCGCCTCAAGTAAAGCCAATGATGCAGATGAACTACTCTCACTAATATTCTGTCAAAGAGTTGACAAGTTGCTTGATCCACTGGTTGTAATTTCACATCAAAATACACCAGTTTAAATGTATATCTTTGAAGAATTCGTTTGATCTGTAATTCATTATATTTCCATGAGAAAATTTTCAGTCAAATCTTTTTTTTTTGCTTTAACCCCTGGATGATGTATTTATTGCCAACAACTGATGTTTATAATAAACATCAGTTGTTGGCATTAAATAGATATAAATTATATGTATGAGCGTATAAAGGCGCTTATAAAAAACGCTTATTAGTGATCATTCTATGATTCATATAGATGGTTCAGGCTCAGGAATTTTTTCAACTTTAACCCATGATACTCAAATTTCGATCACATTAAGCATTATTTACAGCAGTTCACACAACCATTCAGTGTAATTGCTGTAAGTGAAACATGGATAAATCTGGAAAAAGGAAGTGATTTCAATTTGGAGGGCTATGAATTTATAAATGTAAATCGACAAAACCAAGGGGGAGGGGGTGTTGGATTATTTGTACATAATTCGCTGAAGTTTAAATGCATTGATAATATGACAACAGTTATAGAGGATATTTTGGAATGTTTAACAATCGAAGTTTATCATGAGCACAAGCATATAATTATTAGCTGCATATATAGGAAGCCAGGTTCTAAAGTAGAGACATTTAGAGACTGGGTTGAGGAAACATTTGCACAAATGAGTCACAAATCTATGTTAATCTGTGGAGATTTTAATATTGATCTAATAAATTCAGAGAATCATAAATCAACAGAAGACTTTATCAACACAATGTACAGTATGAGTCTGCATCCACGCATAAACAGACCCACTAGAATCACTCCTCATAGTGCATCACTAATAGACAATATATTCGCTAACAATTTTGTTAATGATTCTGAAAGTGGAATACTTGTCTGTGACATCACAGATCACCTACCTGTGTTCACAGTTTTAAATGAGTGTCACAATAAAACGAGAGTAGACACAAAGTCTGAGTATAGGAGAGTCAAATCAGCAGAAGCATTAATTTCTTTCAAAAATGACCTGCTTAATCAAAATTGGGAAAATGTATACGGTAGCTCTGACACCAATATGGCCTACAATAAATTCTTAGATATTTATTTGTCAGCATTTAATAAAAATTGTCCGATACAGAGATACAAAAGAAGAAGGAAAGGAAATGACTGTCCATGGATAACTAAGGGTCTTGCTAAAGCATGCAAAAAAAAGAACAGACTATATAAGCAGTCTCTGGTAAAAGAACAGAAGAAGCAGATAAAACATATAAAACTTATAAAAACAAACTGACAACTATTATCAAGAATGCAGAAAAAGGTTATTATAGAGATTCATTAGAAAAGAATAAACTAAATTCCAAGGGAACATGGAACATTCTAAATGATATTATTAAAAAGGGTTCAACACAAAGAAAGAACTATCCAAATTACTTCATTGACTTCAAGGGTAGAGAGGAATATAATCAAGAGGTAATAGCCAGTAGATTCAATGAGTATTTTGTTAATATTGGGCCGGAGCTTGCAACTAAAGTTCCTGATACTGGAACGTTAGGAAATGACGTAAATCATTTCATGAAGACAAATCCACATTCAATATTTCTAAGTGCTGTTGATGAAGCTGAGGTTGTGAATTTAGTTAGGGAATGTAATAATAAGAAGTCAGCAGACTGTGATGGAGTGGATATAGTGGTGGTGAAAAAAGTTATTGATGTAATTGCCAAACCATTGGTGCATATATTTAATCTTTCATTCCAGACGGGCATCTTCCCTACAAAAATGAAAAAGGCAAAAGTTATCCCTCTTTATAAAACTGGCGATGTTCATCACTTCACAAATTACCGACCTGTCTCTATACTGCCACAATTCTCTAAAATACTAGAAAAACTTTTTTGTAAAAGATTGGAAAAATGTATTCACAAACATGACATTCTCTCTGAGAGTCAATATGGCTTCAGGGCTCAAAGTTCAACTGCATTGGCTTTAATTGATACAATGGAAGAAATCACAAACTCTCTAGATAATAAGAAATATGCAATTGGTATTTTTATTGATTTAAAAAAGGCATTCGACACCATAAATCATAAAATGTTAATACAGAAATTACAGCAGTATGGTATCAGAGGTGTGGCTTCACACTGGGTAGAGAGCTATCTAACAGACAGGCAACAGTTTGTGAAGATGAATGAAAAGTGCTCCTCATGTCTGCACATTCCCTGCGGTGTCCCACAGGGGTCAGTGCTGGGACCTAAATTTTTCATTTTGTTCATCAATGATATATGTAATGTGTCAAAACTACTCAAGCTCGTATTATTTGCAGATGACACCAATATTTTTTTAGCTGATGTAAATTTGAAGACATTACTGGCCAATATAGCAGGGGAAATGAGGAAATTACAGTCTTGGTTCAACAGTAACAAATTATCTCTAAATTTAAGTAAAACAAAACTAATGTTCTTTGGAAATAGAAAAATAAATTCTGATATAAATGTTGTGTTAGATGGCACAAACATTGAGAGGGTTAGTGAAACTAAATTCTTAGGGGTGATAATAGATGAGAAACTTACCTGGAAAGCACACATTAGATACGTGAATGCCAAACTAGCCAGAAGTATTGGAGTTTTGGCCAAAGCTAGACAGAAACTGGATCAAAGATCTCTTTATTTATTATATTGTACATTAGTGTTACCGTATTTGAGCTATTGCGCTGAGGTTTGGGGAAACAATTACAAAACTGCTATATATCCATTAATTTGTCTTCAGAAAAGAGCTATCAGGATCATTCACAAAGTGGGTTTCAGGGAGAACACAAATGATTTATTTAAACAGGCAAAAATACTAAAATTCAATGATCTAGTTGATTATCTAACACAGTGTCTCCCAAAGTGGGGTCCGCGGCCCCCTGGTGGGCCGCGAGGGTACTGCAGGGGGGCCGCGGGAGGTCATAAAAATAAAATAATAATAATAATATAATGATTTAATGTTAAATGTATAATGTTTTGTTTGTAATATTAAAATATTTGTGTTCATTATATGACTTGAATAATCCACTGTAATCATTTTTGTATTACAATGTTTGTAGCAGAGGCTATTTCCCCAAAATAAAATAACCAGAAGAGCCTATTCTTAATGTTGTCTTCTTGGTTATTATTTTGGGGGGCCACGCAGACCCGTCAGATTTTTAAGGGGGCCTCGGTGTTACTGAGTTTGGGAATGGCTGATCTAACAGTATTAATAATGTACAAAGCAAATTATAACAAATTACCTAATCAAATTCAAAAAATGTTTGTATCCAGAGATAGTGTATATAACTTAAAAGGTAAATTCAAATTCAAGCCTGCGAGAGCACTTACAACTAGAAAGAGTTTTTGTGTCTCTATCTGTGGGGTGAGGCTCTGGAACGCCATGAGTGAGGAGCTGAAGGGATGTCCAGACATGAGAAAATTTAAAAAGGAATACAAAGAAACCATTTTGGCTCGATATTCTTAGAGAGGGCAATAACTTTACTACTTTAGGAAATATAATCATATACCGGGAAACCACAATGTCGGGAGTATATTAAAAAGGGCAAATAATATATAGGAAAATAAAAAAATAAAAATAAAAACTATATATATTTAGATAATTAAAACAGAAAACATGTAGATGTGTTCACATGCCTATAGTGTAAGCTGATAAGTGTAAATGTGTTAATATATGTTTATATGCGTAGACATGTATATGTATGTATGTACATGTGTTTATGTATATGTATGTATGTATCTGTGTATGTGTATGTATAGTGTATATATGTGTATTTTTGATATAGATGTATAGACAGAGAGAGAGACTATAAATGTATCATTATTTATTTTATTATCATTATTATTATCTGTATCTTCTAGCATAGGTTAAGGTGAAGTACATTTGCTAATTTGCAAAAAGCAGAAAATTCTACTGATGACTACGAGATATAGCCTACAGGGGTGGGAGTATATAAGTTTTAATTCTTCTCACTCCTTTTTCGAGTTGATACTTGGTTATTTAAAATAAATGTGTATTGTAAATCTCAGTTGAGTATATTGAACTCGAAATAAAAACATTTCATTCATTCATTCATTCATTCATAAAATAGAAACAAAATGAAAATATACATAAAATGTCTAAAATTGATTACTGTATTGTGATAATGTATGACTCCTGCGACCCCCATAGTGTGATCACTCTCTAAAAGAGGTGAAGAAAATCATATAAAAATAGTTAAATGTGATATTTTCCCTCACATTAATCGTAGTAACATTTTGTTTGTTTACATCCCTTATCTTAATGTTCTTCTACAATGTTTTTGCTAAGCTAATGTCAATTTGTTTCCAAACATTTTCTTTTTCCAGGAACATAGAAACTTGCCTTTCATGCAAGAGTTGAGAAACCTGTTTTCTCTGATGGTGGGCTCCAAGAGGAAGTATGTGGATCCTTCACGAGCTGTGGAAATACTGAAAGATGCTTTTAAGTCCAGTGAGCTGCAGCAGGTAAAGCATTTACTTTTTGCACTTGATTTGATTTAAAGTGTATACGTGTGTGTAGACAGCATAGATCTATAATAATATTAGGGCGTGGACTCGATTTAAAAAAAAAATCTAATTAATTAGAGGCTTTGTAATTAATTAATCGCTTTTTAATTGCATATAAATATTTGATTGAGACAGTGAGAAGTAATTTTTTACACATGGATTTTTAGTATACTATTGAATAATGACTGAATACATAAGCTTAAGCAACAAAAATATTGTATATTTAATCGCTATTATTATATTGTATATTTTTGTACAAGTCCAATAGACCAGTGCAATTTTTGCTGTATTTAGAAATATACTTCCCATCTGTTGCTGATGTTACTGTGAACCAACGCGTTCACATCAGCTTCTTTGTTCATGTTCACTGTGCGACGAACCAGTGCAGAAACCATAGAGAAGCAAGTGCAGCTGCAGCAGTGTGCGAGTGTAGTACTGCACCAAACACAAACTTTAGACACTTTGCACAGAGACAGCAGTGGGAACAGTGTTTCTCTGAGTCACTTCTGTCATTGGGAGGTGCTCCAGTACAATCGGTCCGTCTGAAACTCACCTAGTGAGAAACGTTCCGCGGTGCAAAAATGGAGATAACGATTAAAATGCGTACATTTTTTTAACGCTCTAATTTTTGTGTAATTAATTCATCTTAATTAACGCGTTAAAGTCACGCCCCTAAAAATATATATATAATGATAATATTACTAGCTTATAGCTGTCCCACCAATGGGCACAGGGGGCGCCCTTGGTACTGCAGACCAAATTCATGTGGGCAACCCAGGAAATTGTCCCGTAGAACTCAATTTAAACTAAAACCGCTCGACCCCTGCTGACAGAGAACCTACATTTTTACAGAATGTTCGGATTTTGTGGGGATTTTAGTGTCCCTTGTAAACCAGTAATTTTTTTCTTCTTAAATCCTTCAGTTTTCTTTAAATCCGCTCTTGCTCCCTCTACCGCTGCTCTGATCAGCAGCTCTGATTTGTTAAAGCGCGGCCAAGCCCCTCTGTGCGCGTGCATGAGTGCCGCACACGCGTGTTTGGCGCAAAGCATCATGGGAGCTCGTCCACTGCACAGAACCGGGTAGACCGGACGATGCCCAAATATAGGCGAGTTCCGCTAATCTCGGTCCCCATGGCTGTCCCATGCGCTACTGAGTACAAGCCATTCATTTGAATAGGGCGCCATCTTGGATCACCGGAGCTTGGTAGGCAGTCACCCACATTAACTGCTGTCCCCTGCACAAGTGTGCTGCCACAGTTGGTTGTGTTCTTTGTATATGGTGTAGTGTGAAGCAGAGCTATTGTTTGCTGCTCTGATCCCTTCAGCTCATGTCTGCAGAGCACGTCTTGGGTCACTACTTGTATCCACTGTGCTTTCGTCAACATGTCACTCTGTTTTTTAGGCTGGCATGTATCCCATTGGCCTAAGTTACATAGCCCCATTAATGTCTTCTTGAGAGTGGCCCGTTTTAATTTCCTTTTGAATGATCAGATGACAACCTTGAAAATAAAATGCAAGAGTGAAAGACAAGACCAGTCATTTATCTTTTGTTTTTTATCATTAGCAGGATGTGAGCGAGTTTACCCACAAGCTGCTGGATTGGCTTGAAGATGCATTTCAGATGAAGGCCGAAGAAGACAGGTAAACATAACATTATTAACATCCAGTTGTTAAATATGTATATAGTTTTTTAACATATGCTTTGTTTTTCTGTAACGTCTCTCATCTCTGTATCAGGGAGGGTGAGAAGCCAAAGAACCCAATGGTGGAGCTCTTCTATGGACGCTTCCTTGCTGTTGGTGTCCTAGAAGGTGAGATCACATGTATAATCACAAACCCCTAAAGATAACAAGAAAAACCAAAGGGAAGGAGGGCAGCCCGCTGTGATTGCAGTAGCAGGAAAGCAAGTCTTTGCCCCTGGTAATGAAAGGTGACCTTGCCTTAATGAGATGAGGTCCATGTAAACGAGCAGGGTGGTTGCATTGATTGTAGAAGACCTTGACGGTTGATTGACATTGTGCTTATTATGCATGACAATGCTGGCCCAGAGCCACACAAAGCTGGGCCAGTGGACTCTGCTACTCATGAAATGACCTTAATGCCTCATCTGCATGTCCGCGAGCATTCCCCTCTGTTTCACAGTGGGGAGATGCTCAGCAGTTGTTTAAATGATCATAATGCATGAGTGACTGCTGAAAAAGTCAAAAACAGTTTGGATGTGAAATGCATTCTGGGTTAAAGCATTCCACATGGAGGGTGCTATCATGTTTTACTTAAAGGGACAGTTTGTAAGAGTTTTATTTTAAAGTAAAGTGGTGAAGTACATCAACATGTATCTGTTCTCAGACAAAAGGGCAACATGGTCAAAACATTATTCACAGCATCTTATTAAAATGTTACTATTAATTACAACAATTGGCCATGTTGGCTGCATTATTCATTTAAGAATATTATCCAATCAAAAAGCAGAATAGGTCTCTTCATTTGGGTGACATTTTCTTTGGTGACATTAATCTGGTTCAGTCCAAACTTCCTGAGCACCTGCAACAAATGAGTCCTCTTTATGCAGGCACTGGTAACAAGTGGTTTAATAGACAATGAAATAATTGAAGAGGTGAAAGAGACCAAGTATTTAGGAATAATCATTGACAACAATTTAAAGTTCCAAAGTCAGGTGAAAAGTGTGTGTAAAACAGTCAAGTCAAATTTGAACTGCTTCCTCCTTATAAGAAGAGAGCTGTCGTATCAAGCTGCTCTTTTGTATTTGCATGGAATGATATTTTCACATCTCTCCTATTGCCTCGCCTCGTGGTCGCAAACTTCACAGACAACTCTAAAGCCAGTCATATCCCTGTACAACCAGGCAATCAATGTCTACGACAGGAAACCTTTGAGGTGGCATCATTTTGACATCATTAAAAAAACATTTGACCATTATGTTAGCTTTTGCACACTGAAATTGTTTTTAAAATGTTTTAACTGATCATGTTCCACCGCTGTTCTCTGGTCTGGCTGTCAGACGTCAAGGCTCTCGAAGACCTAACACCAGAGCCTCGGTCAGAGGGGACTGTCTGGTTCATAAGTTCAGAACATCGTTGGGACATTCCAGCTTTGTCTTCAATGGAGCCAAACTGTGGAACGCTCTTCCCACTGACCTAAAACTACAAACAAACTTAAACATCTTTGTCAGACGTCTGAAACTGTGGCTGAAATTGGAGCAACGTTATTCACATGATTAATGAACTGTATATTTAATTACTTTTATATTTGTACAATTTAAATATTTGTGTCCTAAAAGCCTTTTGTGGACATGTGTTGAAAATTAGCATGGTCTTGCTATAACACTAAAGGCAGTGCATCTGGTCTGCCCAATGTAACTGTTGTGTCCATATCAAATAAATAAATAAATGTATTTAAAGTATTTACATCAATAAGCCTAAGGTTCTTTTCAGCAATGTTTAATTAGTCCCTAGGGGTGAGTTCACACTTCAGTCCCAAGTGAACCAGAGTTCACTTACTGTGACCCAATTAGGGAAAAAAACGCTTCATCTGTGGATTTGTGATCCCACCAAACAAGTGCACACTCTTCCAGAAGTTGACCCCGTTACACTTGAAGAGAAAATACACTTGTTTGGTGGTTTCACATCTCCACAGATGGAGAAATTTCTGCCCTAACTTTAAGTGATTTCTGGTTCACTTGGGGTTGAAGTGAGAACACGCCCTAAATATGTGTCCACTGATTCTTAGGTAAGAAGTTTGAGAACACAGAGATGTTTGGGCAGTACCCTCTGCAGGTGAATGGCTTTAAGGACCTTCATGAGTGTCTGGAGGCCGCCATGATTGAGGGAGAGATTGAGTCGCTCCACTCAGCAGAGAATTCAGCCCGATCCGGACAAGAGGTCAGTAACGCGAAAAGTCTGGACCATTTTCAATTGTCCAAGTTTGGCTCTTTGAACATTTACACATTACAAGAATAGTGTACATCTCAACATAAACATACTCGCATATATTTTATGTACAGAAATACGAACAACATTAAACTTAGAACATAGAAACTGACTGTGTAATACGTTGTAATTGCGTAGATTTGTCATTTAGTTTAAAACCCCATTGGAATAGAAAACTATTGATCAAGTTAGCTTCACCATCAGCCTGTTTCCTTACCTCTGTTTGCCTTCCAGCACTGGTTCACAGAACTTCCACCTGTGTTGACATTTGAACTCTCTCGATTTGAGTTCAATCAAGCTCTGGGACGTCCAGAGAAGATTCATAACAAACTTGAGTTTCCCTCCATGCTTTACATGGACAGGTGTGTGCTGTTCCCCACTAACCCTTTATCCCTTTATGTTGGAGTAGCCAAAAAAATTGTTCTACTTTTCTTCTTTTAGATATATGGACCGGAACAGAGAAATAACCAGGATAAAGAGGGAGGAGATCAGAAGGCTGAAAGAGCACCTTACATTACTCCAACAGCGACTAGAAAGGTACTCCATTAAATCTCATCAATGCACAGTTCTTCTTTGTGGTACTGTTCTGTTACATTTGTTTTCTCTTAAAAGGTATCTGAGCTATGGCTCTGGCCCCAAGAGATTTCCTTTGGCAGATGTTCTCCAGTATGCCATGGAGTTTGCCTCTAGTAAGCCAGTTTGCACCTCTCCTGTGGATGATATCGATTCCTCAGCAGCTCCTGGAGGTGCAATAGGTCAACAGCTGCCCCTGCCAAGGTAGTTACATTTTATCATTATTTGATCTTTGCAAACATCTTGAGCAATAAGAAGAAAATATAAAATATAAATTATGAATAAAATTCGACCCAACCTCTACTTTATATACAGCATAACCGAGCAGGATTCTGTGGTTCCACTCGACACTACGTGTCCAGCTACATCAACAGCAACGGCTTCCACAGGACCACAGCAGCAAAGATTGCCCATTCATAAACCCTTTACTCAGTCACGGTTACCTCCGGATCTCCCTATGCACCCTGCTCCACGTCACATTAGTGACGAGGAGCTGAGGGTGCTGGAAGGCTGTTTACACCGATGGAGGAGTGAAGTGGAGAATGACACTCATGGTACTTTTTTACTGTCCACTATTTTATTCATAGCATATTGATCCTTGCAGACACAATCCTGATGTATTTCCATGTATTCAGATCTACAGGGAAGCATTACCAGACTTCATAGAACTATTGAGATGATGTACGCTGACAAATCAATGATGCAGGTATGGTTATTACTTATTTAGACAATCCTTAACTGAGAAAAAAACATCAATTCTTGTATTGTGCTTACCTGGCAGGTTCCATACCGTCTCCATGCTGTACTTGTGCATGAAGGCCAGGCCAATGCAGGCCACTACTGGGCGTATATCTATGATCCCCATCAGCGCTGTTGGATGAAGTATAATGACATCTCGGTCACCAAATCATCCTGGGAGGAGCTAGTGAGGGACTCTTTCGGGGGCTACCGCAACGCAAGCGCATACTGTCTCATGTACATCAATGACAAGAAACCCTTCCTAATAGAAGGTTAATCCCTCATTAACAGGGCACGTTGTTGTTTCTTACAAGTGAAGGTATCTAATCTCTTAATTGTTTTTTTTTTCCAGAGGAGTTTGATAAAGAAACAGGTCAGCTACTGAGTGGTCTGGATAAACTGCCGCCAGATTTGAAGCACTATGTGAAGGAGGACAACGAGTTGTTTGACAAGGAGGTTTTGGAGTGGGATGCCCTGCAGGCTCGAAAGGCCCAGCAGGAGAAACTAGCTCTAGCAACAGCTGCTGCTGCTGCGGCTGCTGCTGCTGCTACTGCTGCTGCAGCAGCCTCAGCTGCCTCCAGTACCTCCTCCTCCTCATCCCCTCAACCTATGAGCATCGAGTCCAGCACCCCGGACAATGCAGGTACGTTATAAGATGTTCTCTGTGATAGTTGGACAAGAGCAGTGCTTTATTGCTCATGAATATATTTTGCAATGTACCAAAAACGGTTCCTTTTTTATGCAACATGTTTTTGACACTTTCTTATGCCTCCCTTTCCTGTAGTTCCTCAACAGGACCCTGAGTACATGGAGCAGCCTTCACCAACCAATGACTCTAAGCATTTGCAGGAGTACACAGAAAGGGCCATTTCTAAAGCTGTTGCTGAGCAGGAAGAAAGAAGTCCAGAAGCATTACTAAATGCTGTACGTACAAGCCATTTCTCAAAGTTTGAACAAATACACAAAATGTCTAGTCAATGTAGTTTAAAGTAGGAATCAAAACGTTCTGCTGTCCCTTTCCATCAGTCATCCATTCTTTAAACCTGTCCCATTCTCTCTACAGTCTCCTCACTCTCCCTCCTCTCTTCAGCCTGAGGCCAACCCCCCCTCGGCCCCCTCCCCTGACCTGGTCAAAGAGGATCAGTGCCATGGCCAGCGCACAGTAGAGGTGGCCATACCTCATGTTGGAACCTTTGTCATAGAGGCAGAGGAAGGGGGATATGATGACGAGGTAGCATTTTGTCTAAACTCCGCACAGCCTTTGTGCCTGAAATACTGAATGAGAGCACTGTTGCCCCATTCACTTGCCTTCTCACCCAAGTATCTGATACTTCATGTCAGCTAACCCAAGCTTGTTTTGAGGTCTGAAATTCCCCACAAATTTATCTTACACCAAGCCTCCATGCATGATTCTAGTGTGGAACATATTTCCTTAGAGGCATTGAAGTGGCTGACATTTGGTCTGGTGCTTTGACCATGCAGTCCTTGTAACAATAGTTTGATTTAAAATTACACTTCAACCATATATGAATCAATGGGTTTGTGGTATGTGCTTCATTTTCGGGTTGGAAGATGGATTGTCATTGTTGAGTTCTTGCTTTCTTTCGCACCCAGCGCTGGTGTTGGTATTTCCATACTGTCCTAACATTGTGCCGGCTTTGCCCTTCATGTTGTGGCACTCTTACTTACTGCATGGACGGCTGCGCGATTGGCATGCCCCAACTGTGGTATGCTGTATGTTGTGCACGTATTGGAAGATGACAGTACCCATGTTTGCTTGGAGAGTTGTTCTGTTTAACATGGTTCCTGCTTCTTGGGCAGGCTATGATGACCCCGAACATGCAGGGTATTATTATGGCCATTGGCAAATCCAGCAGCGTTTATGAAAAGAATGGGCCTGAGGCGGCCTTTTTTAAGGTACATCCTACCTCTTTTCACCTCTATCACCTTCATCCTCTCCCACATTCTGTTTTATGTCTTGTCAGCAAAATATTTTAGTTTTTTACTAAAAGAAAAACTTGTTATTTAACCTTTTGTTAGAATAATGTATAAATTTGTTTTGTGTCATTTACAGCAGAAGTTGCAGAGCAAACTATTACTAACACATGTGATATTAAAAACCAAACTTGTCTATTCTTTCAGGCGATCAAGCTGGAGTATGCTCGGCTTCTGAGATTTGCTCAAGAGGACACTGCTCCAGAGAATGACTATCGAATTCAGCACATCATTGTCTACTTCATTCAAAACCAGGCACCGAAGAAGATTCTGGAAAGAACACTCCTCACTCAGTTTGCAGACAGGAACCTGGCGTTTGATGAGAGGTTGGTTAGTCTCTAAAATGTGCGAAATCCCCAGCAAAGAGCCATATTGATTAATTGTGTTAATGGCTTATAGTATTTTCTTCAGACCCTGTTAAACAATGTAGTTGTCCGTTATTAGCACATACTTTGCATAGATACTGCCCCCTTTTGAATTACAGGTGTTCCTCACATACAACTGCAAATGTGAAGAATACTCTCTGCCATGCCGTTTGTGTGTGTCTGTGTGTCTGTGTGTGTGTGTGTGTGTCTGTCTGTCTGTCTGTCTGTCTGTCTGTGTGTGTCCTGACCAAGAGTGACTCATTGGGATTCGGGGCAGGGTGGAACCCAGGCTTTGACTCACTCATTGCCAATGCCAGATTCTCATTCCTGCTTCTTTCTCCGTAGATGTAAAAGCATTATGAATGTGGCACGTGCCAAACTTGACCTCATTAAGCCTGAAGAGGTCAACATAGACGAGTATGAGGTATGTTTAACGTGTGTGTGCATTTACAGTGCTTACAATGCTGCTCTAGGTATATCCCTATCTCCTCTTAATTGATGAAACTTGTGTGTGAATGTCAGATTAACTCCTGTGTTTTTGATGATTAAAGACAAAAAACACGCTTCTGGCGGGTTTATCTAGATGGAGTCTGTAGTGTAAAGGTTTGGTGTCTCCACGATAGCCGCAGCACAAGTTAAATAAAGCTTTGCCCATCCTAAATTTCTATGTATTTCTCAAAACATCACATATTTCATATACATTCAACTAGTGTGTGAATCTTTGTGACACTGAAAAAATGGGCACTAGGAAGTTATTTAAACATTATAGATGGTGCCTGATCTTTGCTCTGAAATAATCTTCTTTTTCCTGTCAAACAGATCTGGCATCAGGACTACCGGAATTTCCGTGAGACGACAATCCTTATGACGATCGGATTGGAGCTGTATCAAAAGACAAAGTACATAACCTTTTTTTTTTTTTTGTTATGACATAGGCTGTTGCTGTTATTTCTAAAAAATAAACTAAACTCTATAGATGACCAGCAGAGGGCAGCAACTGATAACACACTCACTGCTTTATCCGCTGTCATAGGCAACTCATAGCTTTTATTAACCCAAATCAGCCATGTTCAATGTATTTATTATTTGTATTGTTTTTCAGCTTTGTGGACTCTCTTATGTATTTGATATATGCCTACCAGTACAACAAAGAGCTTCTGTCCAAAGGACTCTACAGAGGGCATGACGAAGAGCTCCTGGGATTTTACAGGCGCGAGTGTTTGCTGGTGAGTTTGCTCTGAGTAAAATAGCAGAAGGTGGGGTTATTCCGCTAAGTCTTTAATTACAGCCATTATCAAACAGAGAATCTCTCCCGCAGAGGACAATTCTTGAATGAAAGCCTTATGCCGGCCCCTCTTTGTACTTTCTCCTTCCCCAACAACACTGACGCAGCAAAATGAACATGGCTCTAGAGCTAATGAAATTATTTGCTTGCGGCACAGATTCTTGTGAAGGTTTATCATTTCACTGATGTTCCTATGAGTAGAAGCACTGGGATTTGATCCGGTTCATATGACTTTGACCAAGCTGTGGTCTTTGTTTTGATAGTATTGGTCAACGCTGTGGGTATTTTGGTTGAATCAGGCTTGTACCGGTCTTGGGTTGTCCTCGCTGCTGCTGCACTCTGTAACCTCACACCAGCATTGTGTTTGTAATGTAATCATCGAAGTGGGAATAGGAAGCAGGAGGGCTGCAGAGTGTAAACACATTACCATGAGACACAAGCGTGTCCTTAGAAGAACCCAGACCTCTCACAGCACAAGCGCATGGGCCAGAGTCTTTGCTCGGTCCACATAGCTGTTTATCCCCATTCCTTTTGTTTTAACAGAAAACACTTTCAGCATTGACACACCTAATGCACTTGGATGAGTTACAAAAGTTGCCTCCAGCCACTAATTCAGAACGCACTTAAAAGAACTTCTATCCCTCCGTTTGCTTTCCATTTGGTGAGAAAGGGAAGGTCAGCGAGTTTGTCCGTGATGCTGAAAAGGATTTGGCAAAGAACAAAGAGAAGAAAATACGATGCCATGCTTAAACCGGTTAAAGGATATTTTCTTAAATTAGTCCCAGAAGTCTGTGATTGAGAACTAAAACTGTTGCAGAGGCTCATAGAATAATGAAAACAATAACTATGCCTTATAAACACAGTGAAACATGGGCCAACTCTTACTACAATTTTAGTCAATCTTGTTTTTTTCTTATAAAATGTTGATGATTTTTATCTGTTTCACCATAGAAACTAAACGAGCAGGCAGCAGCCATGTTTGAGGCTGCAGAGGAGCCAGACGTCGGCACAGGGTTGGGAGTCATGAATGAACTGGTGGTGCCCTGTATTCCACTGCTGCTGGTGCACGAAACAGAGAAAGACCTGCTGGCTGTGGAGGACATGCGCAACCGCTGGTGCTCTTACCTGGGCCAGGAGATGGAAGGTGAGCGCTCAAGTTGTGGGAGTTTGTCTGGACTACCTCATATTACTATTGGACTGAGCTAACACCTAACCCAGGGGAGTCACACCCCCTCCTCAAAGGGTAAGTGTGGCTGCAGGTTTCCAACCAAGCAGGAGCAAACCGGAGACCACCCATTTACTCAAGTGAGTCCGGACTTGAAGTCTTGAGGATTAGGGTTGAATCTGGTGTGCTCCAGCAGCCATACTGGCCTTTTCTGGAACCAGTTTGACACCGCTTAACCTAACTACATATAGTCATTGTTAAAGCTGGAGAACCTAACTTTGAAACCTTTAAAAATGTACATAATAAAATTCATGTTACTAGATAAGATAAGAGTTTCTTTATTTGTCCCACAGTGGGGAAATTTCGATGCTGCAGCGCACATACAGGACAGTAGTAAGAGCACACAGGGAGCACACAAAATATACAAAATACAAACTATGTAGTAGCTATGTTTCTTAACTAGCTGTAGATGCTGTAAATGCTTCAATACCAGTCAAAATATATATATATATGTAGTAGTGCGGAGTTATATAATGTATCTACTTATTATCCTGCCCTATATGTAAAGTAAAGTGACTAGTGTTGAGAAATTAAGACAAGGCAGCTACGATTGCATCTGTACCAGGGTTTATTTTTGAGTCCTTCCAGACAAAGGCTGTTTATATGATTTGTATCAATGTGCCTAAGAGAACAGGGACGTCATCACTTGAGGTATTAGTGAGAGAATGTGGTAACAATGTGGGTCAGTACTAATATGTTCAGTTCTTCAGATAATGTTCAGCGACAATACAGACATAACAGGGGGCCGCATTACAAAATATCCACGTCAGATTCCACACGTGTTAACCTAGCTCTCAAAACTGGGTCTATCACGAGTTTTCACACACATTTATTTCTTCAAACGTACCAGCCTTAACATCAGCTCTCGGTTTTCTAATGAGATTATGACAGTATGTTGTAGTGTTAATTTATTCAACGTAATTTTTTTTACTTAAACAATACTCTTTCTGTTGGGACAAACAACATGGACCACAAAGAGTTACTGTAGGTGCTCCAGCTTTAATATTGCTATAAACCAGACAATGACACACTTCTGTTCTCTTCTATTCTGTTCTATAAAAGTTCCATCAATGTCTCTGCTTATCTAGCCTGGCCTTAACCATCCGTACTCTCCGTTCAATCATCATTTCACTGCATGTAACGTCTGGGTCTAGTCCCTATGTTAGCGATTACAATCGGATGAATTTCGACCGACCATTCAGAGAGCGCGGATGGCAAGGGTTGGTAGTTGGATGTGGGTGATGTCAAGAGTTTGCGTCGAACAGGCAGGTTGTAGTTTGGTAATGGCGAAAAATGCGATAGTAAAGTAATCCGGTCTGGTTCTATCAAGAAATTGAAGCCGGAGCAATAGGAATGTTTAGCAAATGTAAGCGCTGGAAAAAATTGTGGCGCTACTCCCCATGGGCTCGGTTAGCGGCATAGGAGATGGCTAGGCTAAATGCTAAATGCTAACAACAGACTCGGGCGCACTACATACGTCACGGTAAACTCAGATCCAATCGTTTCAATCTGCAAAAGGAGTTAACCCCTCGTATCTGTAAACGGAGCTCAATGGAGCACCTCCAGACCTTAGTACGAAATGTCATTTGTACTATGGTGTGGTAAGACCAGGCTGCTTATCACCTTCTCCTTAAGTTTTGTAATCCCACTTGTTTTCAGACATATTCAACTATATTTACCTTTTTTTTTTCTTCTTTACAGCAAACCTACAGGAGAAATTAACGGACTTCCTTCCCAAGTTATTGGACTGCTCAACTGAGATCAAAAGTTTCCATGATCCTCCTAAAGTCCCCAGTTACTCAGCCCTCGAGCTGTTTGAACGCTTCAACCGCATCGTGTCCATTATGGGGAGGGGGCCCAGTGAAGGCAGATGAGTTTGGGGGACTTGGGGGATGTACCGAGTCCCAGTACATGGACCTGTTTAAACCACGCCTTCCTCCAATATCCAGGGGTCATTGGCTTTTAGCTCTTCTTCTGTTACTTTTTGCTGCTATAGTTTTTATCATTATGGTTATAATCTCACTGTTGTTTTAAATGAAATGAATGAAAGGAAGAGCAGGACTAATGGAAGAAACATGGAATGAGAGACACTATGATCTGAATGGTGGCGATTCAACTGTAAAGGAAGCCAAACACTTTATTACAGCTTTGCAGAAATCCAGTATAAGTTTATCCTAGTTCATTGTAGTTTGGTTCAAGCACTCCCGGCGCAGCTCCTGGTCATTCTCCCTGTGAACCCTCTGCTCTGCCTGCAGTTTGGTACAGTATTACCATGTTTTGCTTTATTTTTCTAAGCAAGTAAGTAAAGAGCCCACAGATTGTCGCCGGCTCCCGGTATCTCAAATGGGTCTCATGTCTTGGTAGACTGTGCCAAGACATGTAGTGATCCTTGCAGTGGGAACTCCACCGTCAGAGAATCGGGCAATGAGGTGTTTAAGTGCTGTGGTAGACGGCCATGGACATCCTGTGGTTTGTTAATACATCGAGAGAATAAAATTTTATTTATGGCCCTTTAGGCCAACTTAACATGTGTACATGTGTTGAATTTCACACATTCTCACACCGTTTGGTACCTGCGAAGCACAGTAATGCCTGCAAGCACAACACTAGTGGTTCCCAATGTGGGGGTCGCACAATGATTTCCACAATAGTTTTTAGAATAACATTATATAAAAGAAATATTTATACAAATATTGTTTTATGTGAAGTTAGCACAATAAAATACTCAAATGCCTGAGTACATTTAAATTAGCTTGTTTTGACGTTTCCAATTATTACTATTTTCAATATTATTCGTTAGTGGGGAGTCAGTCGGCCTAATGCTTATCAATCCTGGTCCGAAAGGTTTGGGACCCCTTATGGGAACTCCACCGTCAGAGAATCGGGCAATGAGGTAAGTGTGCATTCTGAGTCCTGCCTAAACTGACACCATTAAAAACATTTGTCTGCAGTGACGAGTGAGCTGTTAATATGAAACCTCATTGAATTGAACTTTAAAGAATGTCGCTGTAAAGATGGAGGTTTCCTGCATGTGGGAGAGTTCGTTTTTTATGACGCACTATTGAACTAATTTCCTGAACCCCTACTATTTCAGTTTAATTTCTTTCTAGCTCATTTGTTCTTACTGTTTAAACAACTTTTCTTGGTGAAAAGTGTTTCCAATTTAGGGCTACACCAGATCTTAACTGATGAATGTATTCATCAACACACTTGCAATTTCTTCAATAAATGCAGCAACTCGACTCCACATAAGATTCACTTTTATTGGCAAGTATATTTGGTCTTAGGCAGAGCATTGAGTTTGTTTTTGAAACTCCAGAACTAGCTGCACAATTGACAAGGTTGTCCTGTTTTCTTGTCTTGGGCCGGAGCAGGAGTCCCAGAGATCCCTGAGAGGAATATCAAATTATCCACTCTCACAAATTGATCTAATCTTCCTTCTGCTGACTCATATCTTGGGTAAATCAACCAGCAACAATGTATAAGCATACATAGCATACAAAAAAAGTGATAGTTGTATTCTTTTAGTCCACCAAAATATTACCACCCAGCTTGTATTTCCATTGGAACTAATGCAACTAGATGAAAGTCACAAAACCATGAACTGGCCTTTTTTTTTTTTTTTGTTGAAGGAAGAATGCTAATCAACATTTCACTTACTCTACAAGAATACATTGAGTTTAATTGAATAACTTTCAACAACAAAAATGGTTCTATCACTAGTTTACACCTACATTTTTTGTCAGCTTTTTCAGGCCAAAAAGTGGCAAAGAGAGGACCACCTTCACCAATCAGCTATTAGCCCCAAAGCGTCAAATAGTGACTCGCAAAAAAAATCTTTAAAGGGGCCGTATGTAATATGTACCCCAGATTTAACCAAAGGGCAATTCAGGAAATGTGCAAAAACCTGTATAACTTTGATGATGCATGGGGTCGTAGCTACTCATTTTCTTTCAAACCCACTTGCACACAGTAATATAACACCATATTTTGAAAAGGCTTATAGAGAGAGTTTTCATACCATTTGTATCTTTGTAGAAATCAGCCTGTCTTTGTCATTTTAAGCAGCCTGCACTCTGTGATATACAGGATTTATCGACTCTCCTGTCCTTATTTCACCTTCCAGCTGCAAAGTTATCTTCAGTGCACAACTTGTGTTCAAAACCTTACCTTGGCCTTATATAGTTGACCCATCCTGAACAGACTGCTTTGTTTACAGGACATTAATTATCATTATTGGCACGCTATCCCTTCAATTTTCCTCATTATTTCTATTGACTTGTTCAGTATGCAGCCAAGTTCAGTGATGATTACAGACTATACAGACATTGGGTTATTTATTATACAACCATGATACTGATGGACAGGCAAGCCTAATTTGTGGTTTGGACTGACTGTCTCCTTTGCATCCAAATGTAAGCCCGGCAGAATTCATGGCCTGCTATTGTCAAGGTTGAAAAACAGCTGAGACATGGCGCACACCACTGCCAATTTCCATTTTACCGCCAATTCAATAAGCTTGCAACAACTGTAAAAAGCAGTTAGATTTGGCCACAGTAAATTTGTTGAAAGGTCGAGAGCGTTAAATGTGTTCTCAGTAACGTATAGGCGAGCTTTTATGGCCGCTCTGCGAAGCTGGAGATATGTTTTTGTAGTCTTGCTTTTCACAGGCGGTGGGAATGTGTTGGCAGACGGTGGACAAGTGAAAAAAAAAGCATTAGTCCAGCTTAAATAATGGTCACAAATGATTCATGAAAATGTAAACTTTTCATGAACGTTTTATTTCAGGAAATACAGGCTACTCGTGATTGAATTTTGAAGAATTTCGAAGGAAAAAGTCTCCCTTTAGACTTTCTAATGCCACATTCAATTGAAAGCTACATACTGCATTAGGGGCGACAGTAGCTCAGTTGGTAGAGCATTGGCCTGAAGGTTGTAGGTTTGAATCCACCACGACTCCCACTGATGAATGCTGTCGTTGTGTCCTTGGGCAAGACACTTAACCCCACTTTGTCTGAAGTAATCTATATTTATATACCGCCTTTCACAGGCCTTTCACTTTCGGTTTACATTTGTTATTTTTTGGGCACTTGTCCTCTCACTCCACACAGAGATGGGAGCGGGGACGCCAGTACAGGAGGCGCATGCCAGACCTGTTGTACATATTTTTAGTGGTAGGGGAAACCGGAGTACCCAGAGGAAACCTACACAGACACGGTGAGAACTCCACTCAGAAAGGCCCTGGTCCGACCGGGATTCGAACCCAGGACCTTCTTGCTGAGAGGCGAGAGTGCTATCCACTCAGCCACCGTGAAGCCTTCGCTGAAAGAGCAAGGCTCCTTTGGACTCACCACCTGCAGGAGGATCAGTGAGGGGCTGGTGCTCTGTGTACTGGGTGCAGCTCTGACTGCACACATTGATGGATGGATACTGTATTGTTTCATTCAAGATGGAAGCACAACTTAATTTGTCCTTTATATTTACCAAAACATGTATTTCTATGCAAATCATGGGGTCAGGAAAATGTAAGAATGCAAAGAAAATAATTGATCATTCTATTTGATTGTTTGTTCACCATGTGCCATATTGCATCTGATTCTATTTTGTTCACCTCATAATGACTTGTGTTTGGTTCTACAGTCCAGGATTCATGGTTTAATGTCTGGAAAAGCTGTTGCTGCTGAAGTACAGTGCAAACATGGAGAACTTCACTGCAGATTCTTAAGGTATATTTTTATCCTTATATACCATACAGTTGTTCTTGCACAATTCTGTCATTCAAATAAAACCTCAAATGGGTAACATTTCTAAATAATGTAAATATCAAACTTTAACTGTGTCCTTCGTCAATATTATTACGGTTTTTTGGAGACATAAAATTTAAAGAGATTGTAAATATTTGTTCTCATAGGGAAACACTTCATGTTTAACGAAAGATCTTTAAATACTGCAATCTTGTTAAGCGCAATGATATGTTGAGCACTATCACAGTTTAGAAGAATACTTGAAACAGAAAAAGAAAAGCACCAAAAAAGGTGGAAGAAAATGTATTCCTTGTGATTGGAAAGACATTCTGATTATTAGTCATTTTTAGTTTTTAAGTGAATGTGAAAAAAATCTTGTTCTTTCTTTTTTGTCTCTTGTTTGTTCTTGCTTGTGTTTTTTGTCATGCTTCTATCCCTGTTGTTTGTCTGTCTCGATTTTTATTGTCCTTAAAGAAAGAAAAAAAAGAAAAAAACATACGCAAAACGATTTGGTGAAGAGCCAAAATGTATAAATCCTGAGCAAGTAATTATGTCACAAGTTCACATTATAAACACTTCAAACAGAGCATGACCAAACCAGTGTGCATTGTTAAAAATGCCGTTTAGAAATCAGTTGAGTCAGCTCATTGTAGTGCAGGAATTCCCACTTTGAAAACTCAAGTGCAGCTGCGGTGTACGCCCTTGGCAATTTACCACCTCCTGTTGGATAAAAGGCCGAGCCATTGTCAAGTCATTATTTACCATCTTTTTCCACTTTAGACTTTAATCTCTTTAGAATGAATGTCAATTAACATCCTACAAAATTAGGTCTAGTCTATAGAAAAAAAGTGATTTCAAATTGCCTCCTGTGTAGCTCAACGCTTTACGGCGCTCTGCGAGGGTCCCTGCTCTTGTTAGACAGTGTTTTATAGTCAGAGGAAAGTTGTGTGGGGAGAGAAATGGCATCTGTGCAGTTTGCCAAGGGCTGGTATTTAATAGTGATTATACGCCTCGGACCAGGAGTGGAGGGGTGAGGGTTAGAGGGGTGGAGGGTGGAGGGTGGAGGGGTTTCAAGGTGCCACTTCCATGGAGACGCAGCTGTGGCAAACAAGACTTCCATCAGTGAACAA